GTGTCTACACCTCCTGTGTTTCAAACCTCATGCATCAACAGTCGATGGTGCCTGCTGCTGGGTGAATACCCCCCCTCAGGTTCAGCAGGGACTTTGACTATGTTCAATAGTGAGCTGGATATTTAACAAGAGAAGACAATAAAGGGAAAGAAAGCAAGCAGTATCAGCAGAAGAAGAAGAAGTGAGCAAACAGAGACCTGGCCACTTGTTTGAGGCCTTGGTAAGCCAAAGCCAGCTCTCCATCTTCATTCAGAGAGCCCCAGTCCTGCTGAGAGATGCTGAGCAGAGGAAGAGGAGGAAACAAGGCAGAGAGTGAAGAAGACAGAGCACACACACTGAAGAGTTAGTCCACTCACAAACATGAAAAAGAAGCGTCTAATCTGTTCACAACAACATCAAATCTACATTTCTACATTCAGGCTGGTTATTGGTTCCAAAGATGCAGGAAGTAGAAACTAAAGTGATAAAGTAACAGCAGCGCCACACGGTGGTGGAACACAGAGAACTTAAACCCTGTTTATATCCCTCCTGAGTGATCAGATCAGTGGACAGCTTTGACGCTCGGCGTGACGCGGGGCGCGATCTGAGATCCGATCAGTCAGGACGCTCTGCACATCTCTAAATCTACACGACAGCCTGTTGTGGTCGCTTCATGTTTGTAACGTCTAATGGCGCTGAATGACGCTCTGTGTTTATTCAAATGTGAAGAGAGGGCTTCAGATCAAAGTGTGAACTCAGAGCCGTCCTCCTGTGATCCAATCACCAGGCAGGGATGTTAATAGCAGGTGACTTACTCATGCAACAATCATTGTGCTGGAAGTTTACTCAGAAAAAAGAACTAAAGAGACCCATGTCTCCACATGAACATAAAGTGTATGTATGTAGTCTTCGTTCACTTCATCAGGTAAACTTGTAAAATGTGATCCATTACTTTTTGCGGTGTTTGTTTCCGTCTTTCAGTTTGAAGTTGATTACAGCAGCCTCATATCTAACTGTATATCATAACTGTTCTTTATGCGTTACTTTAACGCCCACTGGACTTAAAAATGTATCTTCCTTACATGCACTCTGTGAGTAGTTACACACACTAAGATTTTTTCTCATAGACCATTGCACCTTTTGTACATTTTGTGTTTTTTATCTTTATTTTTTATATTTTACATTTTTAAATTCTATTTTATATATTGTAATAGCTTCTTATAATGTATTATTTAAGTTGTTGCTAGTTCTGCTTTATTTCCTTGTTAACTGTTTAGCACCAATACACCAAGTCAAATTCCTTGTATGTGTAAATGTACTTGGCAATAAACTCTGATTCTGATTCTGATTTTGATTCTAATTCTGATTCTGATATCAGTCACTAAAACACACACACACATGTACTGTCTCTTTAAATGTCATGAACAGGTGAAGATGAGGTGACTTACTTTTTGGATTCACACAGGCCTTGATACGCTTTGACCGCCTCCTCTTTGTCCACAGGCTCCTTACTGTTGTTCACCTCGGGAACATTATCACTGTCCTTCTGAAACAACCATCAGAGGGAAACAGTTACAGCAACCCAACCATCAATACACAATGATATGAACTTCATCAGCTGGTTTAATATCACTGTGGATATTATTATGCAGATGATTCTGTGTTGTAAATAAGTTGTAAAGCAGTAAACTTACTATAAGGTCGTTCTTCTCCAACAGCTGCGCCGTGCTGACGATCTGCGTCCTCAGAATAAGCACCTCCTCCTTGCGTGCGTCCAGCTCCTCATTGGCTGATTTGAGCTGACTGAGCAGCAGGTTGTAGCTGTCCTGCAGCTCATTGGACGAGTTGTTTTGAGACGCACGCTCAGCGACGGCCTTACTCAGTGCGTTCAGGTCGTTCTTCAGCTTCTTGTTCTCTGTTTCCAGCTCCTGTCTCTGCAGGCAGACAACACCGGGTTCAGATGTCAAAGGCTGGGTGTAGCCATGGCGACAGCAGACATTATTATCATCTGATTTGAAATGCAGCTTGTGAGTGAGTGAGGGGTGAGGTGATGTGTGTGTGAACCTTCAGGTTGTTGTAAGCGTTGTCTGCTTTCTCCTGCTCAGAGGTGGGACTCCTCGACTCGGAGCTCTGTGGGGGGAAACATATAGGTATCAAAATGAAGATTTTTTTTTCTAACAAAGGTCTCTCTCTGTCAGGATCCTTCGTGTCATGTTGTCACACACACGCCCCCCCCCCCCCCTTCCCCAACCTTCTTCAAACATCTGGTAAACAGTGACCTCGGAGAACGTGGGAGTTGCTGTTCTGCAGATACCTCGATAGATTAAAATGTTTTTGTAATCATGTGTTACACAAATTGAGCATAGCGTTAGCAGGCCATGGAGTCCCGCTCTGCTACCATAACAGCTGATCTCATGCAAGCCCTAATCAGCTGATTTGATCCTGTTTGCTAATCGCACTCATACCACCTTTTTTAATCTGCTCTAGCCTGCTCCCTCTGCAACCTTCCTCCACCCCAGATAGTTGATTCATTGTATTAATATAATATAAACATAAACATATATATACTGAAGAGCAACCTTGCGCTTGTTGAGCTCCTCCATCTTGTCCACGCTGAGCTGCAGCCTCTTCCTCTCCGTCTCCAGCTCTCTTACTCTCTTCTGCAGCTTCATGAACAGACTGATGTCCATCGCTGCCTTCTCCACGCCCATCTCCTGCTCAGGTAGAGACACAGCGTCACACTCAGGTAAGCCCCGTCCCCTTGCAGACCCCACCCTCATTCATCCCTTCTAACTGACTCACCTCCACCAGCTGGATGGCGTCCTCGGTGTCTCCCACCTCCGAGGTGGAGATGGACGGGTAGTTGGAGTCCGACTCCAGGCTGCTCTGATTGGACGGGTTCCTCCTGTGGCCAGGCTGGAACTGGACCATGATGGGGGCGGAGTTAATATTACAATATGAGGTACGATAGGTTAAATGCGTGGCTGTGAGGCGGAGTATCTCCCACCTTGCTCAGAGACTCCTCCTCCTTCAGGTTGTCGTATCTCTGCTCCAGCCTGGAGAACTCTTTGAGGAGGTTCTGGTAACGCTGACGCTCCGCATCCAGCTCGGTCTGCAGAGACGCCTCCCTCTGAGACGCATTGCTGCCGTCCACTGACACACACACACACACACACACACACACACACACACACACACACACACACACACACACACACACACACACACACACACACACACACACACACGGTAAGATGGTCACATTTAGTTTACATTTAGAGTTTCAGACTCGTTTACAGGTCAGACTTGGACCTCACTTTCAGAGCTCTGCGAGTGCTGCAGTATCCTCTGGTTAAGCTCCTCCTTCTCGCTCTTCAGGAGACCGTTTTCTGTCTCCAGCTCCTTCACCCTCTGAGGAGGAGACAGGAAACACTGTCACACACCTGATCATGCTCTGTTATTATACACACTTAGTTTATGATGTTTAAGGGCTCTTGAACAGCAGAGGTTACAAATTGCACCTTCAAAATAAAACCAGAACACCTGAAGGCTCAGTAACAGTTCAGACTTTATCTCTCTTTGTTATAGCCATGCTGGACGTGCAGGTGTGTGTGGCTCAGAGCATGCAGTGATCACAGGATCACAATACGAGGATAAAGCTGCTCCACGCTCTCACCTGTTGGAGCGTGAGTTTCTCCGAGCCGTGCTCCTCCTCCATCCTCTTCCGCTCAGCGTTGGTGTCCTTCAGCTCCTCCCTCAGCCTCTCCAGCTCCTCTTGCAGAGACAGCAGCTGGCCTCCATCTACCTGCTGACTCTTCATCAGCTCCAGCTGTTTCTGCAGCTTGTTCACCTCCAGGCCCAGGCCGGAGTTCTGTTGCACTAGCTGCTCGTTCTGATTGCGGTACCCTTTGGACTGAAACAGACGACAGGGAGGGCATGTAGAGGTCGTAACGCTGAATACGTACAGGTAATGTGTGTGTGTGTGTGTGTGTGTGTGTGTGTGTACCTGATCGTCCATCTTCCTCTGCAGCTGTACGATCTTGTTCTCCATCCCTGAGTTGAGGTTCTTCAGATGTTGGGCGGAGCGGGCCTCGATCTTTAGCTGCTGCAGCTGCTTCTTCGCCCGCGTTCGTCTGAATGCACACTGAATGATGACGGCGGCGTTACGCGCTCGCTGGAACTTTTTCCTCGCCAACCAGCCGCGAACGCTGCGCTGGATGATCATCGCTTTGTGGTGTAGGAGGAACTGAAGAGGAGAGAGAGAGAGGGATGAAGAGGAGGGAGAGAGTTTGTGTGTGTGTGTGTGCGTGCGTGCGTGTGTGTGCGTGCGTGCGTGTGCATGCGTGCGTGTACCTCCTTAAATATCCTGCGTGTGTACATCCCTCGGCTGTAGGCCTGGATGGTCACCACGGCCTGTCTCACCCTCAGGAACGCCCGTCTGTCTCTCACCATGCGGTACTGTTTCTGACAGATGAGCGCCGCTCGACTGAGACGCAGGAACTCTGCGTACCTGAGGAGGACAAACATCAGAGACCTGTTAGTCAGCCTGCACCACTGCATCATGGGAACATGTTACACAAATATGTGAACAATGTTACCCAGTGTTTTTGTACAAAAGGCAACATTGTGATTTATTGTGGCAACGCATTTTTATGTGCTGCATTCGAGCAGTTCGACGCATGAATCCTAACGATGTCAATGGTCGTATGTTACTAAGTCAGTGTTTGTTATATGTGACGGCCTCCTCCTTCTCTTCCTTACCTGTCTGATAAATAAATGTAGTTTATAAGTGTTGAAGGAGTCCAGCTTAACATAAATCATTTAACGGCTCGTTAGTATCATGGAGGCGTGGTCATAGTAATATCTCAGGCTGTGGGGGAGGGGCCTAATGTGAGAGTTTAAATCCTGGTATTGTGACAGCACCAACATCTCAGGGGAACGAGGATAGTGAGGAGGCCGGGCTCACCTGCGGGCCAGGTATCCTCGGCCGTATCTCTGTATGGTGATGGCGGTCTTTCTGATCTTGCGGTATCGAACCCTCTGCAGCCATCCTCGGACCGTCTTCTGGATCTTGATGCAAGCCGCGCGGAACTTATCGGTCCGGAGCTTCTCCAGGTACGCCACCTGCCCCGCCCGGAAGAAGATCTTGGTCTTTCCAAACTGGAACATGTCGGGCTCCTGGGACACAGACGGATTTGATAAAAACGTCCTGTATTAAATGATTATTGTTTATGCAGTAATTCTAAAGTAATATCTGAATATCAGCCCTAAAGGACGATGTCAGTGCCGTTCACCTTGATCAGAGTCTCCAGCAGGTTTCGACACACCTGCTTCTTGTCTGATGACATCATGTCGGATTTCTTCAGCAGAACTCGATACCTGCTGAAGAAGTCTGGGTACGTCCACCTGGAGACAAAGACACAGGTTTCTTCTGTTTCAGTCTGTGTGACAGTCTGTCACATAAACAGATTCATGTGTTCAGGTGATCAACAGGTGTGTAACAAACACCAGTTCACTTCCTGTTTCTGCAGACTCATGATCTGTGAGTCCTCCGAATGAAACTAACTTCAGGAGGATAACTCAGGATATAAAACCATCCAAAAGATGGACGAGGACTCACCTGGACGGGTACCCGGCTGCACTGATCCGGATGGTCTCCAGGACGCCACAGGCTCGAAGTTGCTGCACGGCTCGCCTCGAGTCGAACCTGCACAGACAGGAGACCGTTTAACTGGTCAGTTTACTGGTCTGTGTCTGGTCTGTTTACTGGTCTGTGTCGGGTCTTAAATCAGACTGTTTAACTAGTCTGTGTCAGTTTAGAATCATAGTTTCAGGTCGGTCAGAGAACCTTCCTCCTACCTTGTCGTCCTCCTCGACATCCCAGCGTGAGGACAGATAGTTCAGCTGACTGTTAGCTGCTAGCTGTTAGCTGCTAGCAGAGACTCACTAACATGTGACTGTGATTTAATTTCACCTCCCTGACACACAGAGTTCAGCAAACAATGATGGTCTGTCACAAACAGCCGGAAAACATCGGACAGACAGCACAGTCTGTTTATGATATACAAATGTTGTGTTGGCTTCAAACTAATTATTTAAACACCAACGTGACACAAACTATCTGATTAATGCAGCAGACAAGAAGATCTGTTGTTATGAATGCAGTGTGGTGTGTCCTCTGTAACTAAAAGGTCTCTCTGAGTGGAAATGACAAAGATGAAATGTCCAATCAGTGAGATGGGTAGTGAGTGAAATGATAAAGTGATCTTACTATATGGTCAGACATTAAGAAAACATGCTATGTTGAAGTGCTGGCTTCTCTGACAACAATGCAGCAGCCAGTATGACCTCCTTCTAACTTTAGATTCTGCTCCTGAATGCTCTGGATTTGTTTGGACCAGAGAAGGTAGGAGGTTTTAAGGCTCCCCCACACTGCTGTTTTGGACGCCCCTCGGTTTGCCAGATATGAGAGCAGTTATCAGGTCAACAGATGTTGCAGCGATGGAAGCAGCAAGAGAAGTGGTTCAGATAGAAGTGATTGTACCCGACCTAAAAAGCCTCTGCATGTTTCTAATAAGCTCCACGAGCAGAAACGTGCTCAAACTAGGATCAATATTGGAGATGTTTTTGAAAAGGGAGGTTAGAACGCAGAAAGGTTTACAGACCGATGCAGAGCTGGATAAACACTGAAGCTTCAGTGTCCACCACATGGTGACCTGTTTGAACATCGACTCTAGAGAGGAGGGGGCGGGGGGGGAGACAGCTCTCTACAATGTTTAGAATTGTGACTGCAGTTCCCATTTTGAACACTAGGGGTCAGAGTTACATATTGCTGCCTTGACTAAATGTCACTTCCTGTAAAGATCTGAAAACCTGGATGTGTACAGTGATGTAGAGGATGTAACCTTCTGGTTCTAACACAGACGTCATATCCGGGGGGGGGGGGGGGGACAGACCAGACATTTAGAACAACTTCATCTTCTGCGTCATTTAAAGGCACAGACTGGAGAAATAGCTCCCCCTGCTGTTCATCTCTCAGTGAACTCTCCCAGCAGCTGAGTGAAATAATCAAAATCTCAGCAGGACTCACGAGAAGGCCTCTTTTTCGTCGTTGGGTTTGATGCAGCGGACGTAGTGAGGCGTGGTGGCGTTCAGAGTCTCCATGAGGAGGTGCAGGGAGCTGCGGAACTGAAAACACACAAACATGGGCACCATTAAACTCTGAATCTGACTGTGGGTCCTGGCAGCATCCTGCAGGGGTCACTGTGAGCTCACCTGGTGTCCCACCGTCTTCCTGTGCTCTCTGTTGGGCGCCTTGGGGACGCTCTTTGCTGCTCGGACGTTCACTCTGGACGACTTCGGGGGGGCATCATCCTTCTCGTGGAACAGATCAGCTACCAGCTGGAACTGAGAGAAACAGGTGGCCATGTTGATCAGGCTGTGAGGTCATCATCATTCATTTACAAGAAATAATCCAACCAATCAGAATTTAGTTTTCAACACAGCCACATTAAACTAATAAAGACTTCAGAGGAAGGAAAGAAGAATTTAAAGCCTCTGTCACACAGGAACTCCTGACACTTTACAGAATGGGGCTTTCACACTTCTCCCCCCCCTCCCCCTCCCCCATCACACTGCACAGTGTCCAACAGATTCAGAAGTTTGAGTTCATACATGCAGCACCAAAGGACGAGGACGGACATGTTTAGTGTGTGTGAGGGACGCGCTTTAATCTCTGTCAGACTTGTAGGTACCAGTCTGAAAAGGACGACAGAGTCCTTTTCAGACTGCCTTTCCGAATCTAATCTCAGCAGTCATCACATCTTTGTACAGTCATGATTCAGAAACAGCTTTTTATCGGCATCCCAGTCTGAGAGGTCACATTGGTTTAAGGTGTTGCAGGAGCTCCACATACACACACAGTCAGACATGCACACACACACACAGCGCTGTTCTCTCCCGCTGACTCAGCTGATCCCCTCTCTCCTCTGTAACCTCCTATGGGGGGGGGTCACTTCATCCCCTCATTACACCTCCACGACATTCAGACTGAGGGAGTAACGTCACAGGGGCGTAAATATCACGGCTTGAAACGGCGCTCTGAACGGGCTACAGGCTCACAGTGAGGGTGAAGCTGCTCACAATAAGTCTGTGAAGTCCACAGTGACGAGATCTGAACGATGAGTGAACAAACACAACAGCTCTGACCCAATTCTTCATCACCCTTCATATGCCGAGCCAGACTGCACGCCTCAATGATTTCATGATCTCTGTGAAACAATCTGAATGAGTCTCTCACACCATGTCCTAACAGCATGTGACGTCACATCGTGCAGCATCAGATGCTAGATGTCCACATTGCATCCATTAAATATTTCCTTCTCTGCTCTGTCAGTTTCAGCTTCCCCTTGTAGACATTATAACATATGATGCTTTTATTTTGAAGGTGGTCAAACTGAAGTGTGGTGCTTTTATTTTGAAGGTGGTCAAACTGAAGTGTGGTGCTTTTATTTTGAAGGTGGACAAACTGAAATGTGGTGCTTTAATTTTGAAGGTGGTCAAACTGAAGTGTGGTGCTTTGTGTTGACGAGCTGTTTAACAAAGTTTCTCTCTGGTGTTGACACAGGTCAAAGGTCAACATTTAAATCATGATGTGGATATTATTAATGTTCCACTATCTTAACTTTGCGAAACAAGCTAACAAGCTAACAAGCTAACGAGCTCTGCTGAGGGAGAAGAGAGGAAGGAAATCCTTTCCAAGCTGAGATGTATTTAAAGCTTCATCATTTCTGTGAATCACAAACTGAGGAACTTTTTATAGAATTGAAGACAAAAGATCCAGTTTGATCTAAACCCAGAGTAACCAGCAGCTCTAACACTAAGAACTACATAAACCTGTAAACATGTACTCTCTATTTGACTGTATTATTTAACCTATTGATGGTTTTTATGTATCTGCAGGTTGAGCTTAATGCTTTACTTCCATCACGTCAGTTTCTGTGTTTTTAATCAAATCCAAAAATTCAGAAAACCCACGATCCTCCATTTGTTGTGAAGCTGAGAACAAAACTGAACAAAGAACAAACTGATGAAGCTGCAGTTTTCTGTTTGAATGAAATTTAAAGAGATTCTTTCTCTCATCTCTACGTCTGAAGACGTGAGGGACTCTCTACATGCATACGAGTTTACATCATGTTTATTAAAGATGATCCTGTCGTGTGGACGGAGACATACCTGACTGGCCTTCAGGATGTTGATCTGTTCATCGTACACCGTGTCTCTGTTTTTCTCCAGGAAACCTTCACACTGATACTCCACCTGAGGAGAAAAGAAGGTCAGTGAACACAATGTCACACAGGTAGAAAATAGGTGTAAATGCTGTACTGTGTCAATGGATCCTGAACTTCTTGTCCTGTAGGAAACAATATTCATAATCATGTGTCATCAACCATGGTTCTTAACACCGGCGCCCCACAAGGGTGTGTCCTGTCTCCTCTTTTATACCAACAACTGTTTATCCCATTCAACATCAGTCAAACTATTAAAATGTGCAGATGATACCACAATGGTGATGAATCTGTTTACCGGAGTGAAGTAGAACAGCTGGTGAGGTGGTGTGAGGACAACAACCTAATCCTCAGTACATCTAAAACCAAAGAGCTCATAGTTGACTAGAAAAAAGGCAGCCAAACATCTCCCCCTCTCCATCAACGGCCATGTTGAGAGGGTCTTCTCCTTCTGCTTCTTAGGTACCACTATACACCAGTCCCTCTCATGGGACCGGAACATCAGTCTCATTGTTAGCAAAGCACATCAGAGACTCTACTTCCTCCGTCAGCTGAGGAAATTCAGGGTTAGCCAGAAAGGTATGACCCATTTCTATTGAGCAGACATAGAAAGCGTGCTGACCTTCTCTATCCTGTCCTGGCATGGCAACATGACCAGCCAGGATAAACAACAGACAGAGAAAGTAGTGAGCAGAGCCTCCAAGATCATTGGCTGCAGTCTGCCTACCATAGCCTCACACTACAACACCAGAATCTTCAGGAAGGCTGGAAACATCGCCACTGACATGTGTATTGTGCATTATGTGGTGTTTATGTCTGTGCATTCATGTCATTGTGTGATATATGTGAGCACACCAAGACAAATTCCTATCAACTGTATTGTTGAAATGGCTATAAAAGGACTTGAATGCTAAGAAAACTTGATTTTGAACTTGAGTTATCAGCGGGCTCTGTTTGCAGTGAGTTTGTCTCTCAAACCAAACTACGATCACATTAAAGGGGCGTTAAGTGTCAAAAAAGCTTTCTCACCTTGTCAGCGAAGTGAATGATGATGAAGGAGATGTTGGACATTCGAGGTTTCTGGAAGTGAGCGCTGCTGGAGTGCTGCTTGTAGAGCTTCTGGGCCCAGTTCTGTTCTGTCCCCTTCGGCACCTGAAACAAAAAGTGGTCCATAAAACACCTGAAGGTGGAGATGATGTGTTTTGAATAACAAAACCATCAGTTGAATTCTGCTTCACATCGTTCAATTCAGAGAGTTAAGGAAATTAACCATCAGCATACTTACTTTACACTCTTCATCGAGCAGGTCCAGGATGCCGAGTCGAGCCTCAATCAGGTCGATGCAGGGCTGATTATCATAAAAGTCTATGAGAGTCCAGGGGATCTGCTCCTTCATGTACTCCTCCTGCTCAAGCTTAAACACGTGCTGAGGACCAAAGTGATAGTGTCATCAGCATACAGTAAAAGTGAGAGCGTCATCAGCATACAGTAAAAGTGATAGCGTCATCAGCATACAGTTAAAGTGATAGTGTCATCAGCATACAGTTAAAGTGATAGTGTCATCAGCATACAGTTAAAGTGATAGCGTCATCAGCATACAGTTAAAGTGAGAGCGTCATCAGCATACAGTTAAAGTGATAGTGTCATCAGCATACAGTTAAAGTGCTAGTGTCATCAGCATACAGTTAAAGTTGCAGTGTCATCAGCATACAGTTAAAGTTGCAGCGTCATCAGCATACAGTTAAAGTGATAGCATCATCAGCATACGGTTAAAGTGATAGTGTCATCAGCATACAGTTAAAGTGATAGTGTCATCAGCATACAGTTAAAGTGATAGTGTCATCAGCATACAGTTAAAGTTGCAGCGTCATCAGTATACAGTTAAAGTGAGAGCGTCATCAGCATGCTATGATTCTCTTACACCTCAAATACTGTGTCACCTCATGGTCACAAGCATGTCCATCCGTAATGAAGACGTTATACAATCGTACACTTAATACGGGGGGTAATGGTATATAAAGAGAAAAGCAGCATGATGCTCACTCGAACACAGAGATAGGAGACAAACATTCATAAAGGTCATTAGATGCACACTCACAGAGTTAAACTGCTGCTGGAGCTTCTCGTTAGCATAGTTAATGCAGAACTGCTCAAAACTGTTCACCTCAAACGTCTCAAACCTGCAAAACATCAAACACATTGTAATCGTCATCGTCATCATCATCATCATCATCATCATCATCATCATCAAACACTGAGACATAAATCAGAAGTTTATAGTACTCTTTTAAGCAAGTAGCATTTGTTAAAAAATCTGCTGTTAACTATCTATCTATCTATCCCAGGTGATTTACAAACTAACCCAGCTAGCTATGACCATATTTGGAAGAGAGGGAGGAGTCACTTCTGGATTTTTAAACAAGATGGCGGCAAACAAAATGTCAAACTTAAGGTGACAAAAAAAAGTTGTTGCACAGTCCATGGAAACAGACTGTGCACAGCATACATGGTTAAAAGTTCAGTCGAAGTGTGAACAGACAAAAATATTTAAGTATTAAGTTACAAATGTTTGATCCAGACTTGCAGGGTTGACGGCGTCTGTCTTACCCATAGATGTCGAGGACGCCGATAAACGAGTGCTGCTTGGACGAGGTCTGCAGTGACATGTTGATGTGTTCCACGATCCAGTCGAACATTCGGGCGTAGATGTGTTTGGCGAGCGCGTTGCAGGCGTTTGACGCCTGTTTGCTCGACATCTTCTTCACGTACGTCTCAGCGCTGGTCGCCAACTTCCTGTGACAGAGCCAGTGCTCCATCTGCTTCTGCTCCACCCCCAACAGCCTGCAGAAGTGCTGCAGGTGGGGGTCGTCCCTCTGTGACACACAAACACACACCTGTTAGAGGGCGAACACACACGCTTACCTGATGAACTGTAGCTGTAAACAAGGCAACCTACTGAGATGCGGCAGGACTCTCCATCTCGCTCGGAGCAGATCTCAACATTTCCAAGATGAAGGATGGAGGCGACCACCTTAAAGATGTTGATCTGACTGCTCTCCTTCACACCTGAAACACACACACATGTAACACACATGTCCTCTTGTGTGTGTCCTCCTGTGTGTGTGTGTGTGTGTGTGTGTGTGTGTCCTCCTGTGTGTGAATGTGTATGTGTGTGTGTGTGTGTGTCCTCCTGTGTGTGTGTGTGTCCTCCTGCATGTGTGTGTGTGTGTGTGTGTGTCCTCCTGTGTGTGTATGTGTGTGTATGTGTGTGTGTGTGTGTCCTCACCCAGCAGAGTGAAGGCCTCTCTGGTCTTTTTGAAGTCTTCTGCATCGTTCACTCCCTCAATGAAGATGTTCTCGCCCAGAGATGTGAAGTTGAAATCTTCGGCACTGGCTGAACACAGAGACACAATGCGTCGTAAACATGCATCTATAAAATATTTTGTTTTATAATATCTCTATTTATTGCTTTTTATCTTTCAGTTGTTGTGCAATAAAAGCTGCATCATATTTTATGTCAAAACATGAAATCGCAGCTTTAACTTTCAGGACCTCAGGATGTCACAAACCAGCTTTAATCAGAGTTCTCATCACCTGGATTTATGAATTTATTTTTTATGTTCAGCTGTCTGATCCTTAAACCTGCATCAACTACCAACATCATTCATGTTGTTGGTCCAGCACCTTTGGTGTTGTTTATAATCTGCTGAACTTCCTGTTACAGTCTGAGGATATTTATGAACACCTGATAGTGCTGACAGCAGGTAGACACAAACAAGTGTACTCACTGAGGCCAAGGTCTTTGAACTCAGGTAAACTGGCTGAAGCACACAGCTGGTAGAAGATGTGATAGTTCCTCTCGTCCACCGCCTGTCAGACAACACTGAGGGTTAAAAATACCCTCTTTGCCTTATTACAGCTAAAACTGTATAAAAATGCTGCTAAAAATGTACTGTAGGTGGAGACAGACTGACCTGAAACACGACTCGAGACTTCTCCAGCAGGTAGGTTCTCATGTTGGCGCCGATGATGTGGTATTGTCGGCTGAATACAATCTGGATGTATTTTCCAAAACGACTGCTGTTGTCGTTTCTTGTGGTTTTAGCGTTTCCTATCGCCTGATGAGCACAGAGCACAGCATCATAACGTGACAGTTAGAGGATCATCTACATAATGTGACAGTGAGAGCATCATCAGCATACTGTTAAAGTGAGAGGTATGAGCGTCATCAGCGTACAGTTAAAGCAAGATGTATGACCGTCATCAACATATACAGTTAAAGTGAGAGGTGTGAGTGTCATCAGCATACAGTTAGAGTGAGAGGCCGGAGCGTGATCAACGTACAGTCAAAGCGAAAGGTTGGACATCATGAACGTGCAGTTAAAGTCAGAGCGTTATAAACACTGACCTCCATGATGGGGCTGGAGGCGAGCACCTTCTCCTCCACATTGGCGTCATTCGCTGAGCCTCCCACCGTGGCGAAGAACCTCATGGCGTACTTTGCAGAAACCGTCTTTCCCGCTCCGGATTCTCCGCTGACAATGATGGACTGATTCCTCTCGTCTCTGCAGATAAACACACACAAACAGGAAAGGTTTGAACTTTCAAAATGAAGTCAAACTTTAATCAAAAGTCTCCACATAGACATCAAGGTGTTAAACTGATGACATCATATCCTGCCTGTGTTTGATACCTGGCCATCTGTTTGTACGCCTCCTCAGCCACAGCGAAGATGTGAGGGTCCATGTCGCCCATGTTCTGCCCGCTGTACGCCTCGATCACCTCCTCGCCATAAATATGCAGCTGCTCGTATGGGTTGATGGCCACCAGCACAATGCCTGCACACACATCATGACATCATATGATCTTAAATGTTATTCAAATACTCCTCACAACATACAATAAATAAACGATGGATGCTGAGGACAGGTGTGTGACTGACCGCAGTACGTGTAAATGTGGTTGGACTCAATGAATCGAACCCTGAGGTTGTGCAGGACAGCGGGCTCGTGCAGGTAACTAAGCGCTGTCAGGTCATTCTCTCCCACCAGGATGTCTGGATTACGAAGGAACGGGAGCGGGTTCGACTTAGGACCCACCGCGTACTCCAGAGGCTGAATGATGAGCAAAACAGGATCAATACAGGATCAAAACAGGATCAAAACAGGATCAGGACAGGATCAATACAGGATCAGGACAGGATCAATTCAGGATCAAAACAGGATCAATACAGGATCAATACAGGATCAAAACAGGATCAGGACAGGATCAATACAGGATCAATACAGGATCAAAACAGGATCAATACAGGATCAATACAGGATCAGGACAGGATCAGGACAGGATCAATACAGGATCAGAACAGGATCAGGACAGGATCAATACAGGATCAATACAGGATCAAAACAGGATCAGGACAGGATCAAAACAGGATCAAAACAGAATCAAAACAGGATCAGGACAGGATCAATACAGGATCAAGACAGGATCAAGACAGGATCAAGACAGGATCAAGACAGGATCAATACAGGATCAGGACAGGATCAGGACAGGATCAGGACAGGATCAATACAGGATCAAAACAGGATCAGGACAGGATCAATACAGGATCAATACAGGATCAGGACAGGATCAGGACAGGATCAATACAGGATCAAAACAGGATCAGGACAGGATCAAAACAGGATCAGGACAGGATCAATACAGGATCAATACAGGATCAAAACAGGATCAGGACAGGATCAAAACAGGATCAAGACAGGATCAAGACAGGATCAAGACAGGATCAAGACAGGATCAAAACACAATCAAAACAGGATCAATACAGGATCAATACAGGATCAAAATAGGATCAAAACAAGATCAATACAGGATCAATACAGGATCAAAACAGGATCAATACAGGATCAATACAGGATCAATACAGGATCAATCCAAACAAATCTCAGAGAACACACAATCAGACAGTCTTTATAAACACAAACCAAATGGTTTTAAATAAAGTTCTGGTTTGTATTTTTATAGTGTTAGATGTTTTCAGGTGAGAAAGACTGACCGACGTCATGGTAACAAACATGTTGTTAAATAAATCAATGTTTGACATTATAAGGTGTTTGCGTTACTGACAGATTAATAAATGTGTATTTAATTATATTAAAGGTGACTTCTGACCGTCTCATCCTCCAGTTTGAGGTGAAGAACAGGATCTCCATCTTTGTAGTCTTTGACGATCTCTGCAGCTTTCCACACATCGTCAGCATCCGGGATCCACACCCGCGTGTACTGAAACACACACACACACACTGTTTATTAGTGCTTATTATAAACTTCTGGTGTGCATGCTCTCCAGCTCCACCCACTTGTCCAAATATGGTCAAAACAAAAGGTGACATCACTGTGGCCAGCCCACTTCATATACATAATCTTAGATAGCAACCACGTCTCAGGTCTGACCAGGTTACTGCAGGCACATTTGATATTCAGTGAAGCCAATGATTGTCCTGTTTCTATCGTTCAAAATGAGATATCTTTATGATCAAACACAAAAGTGAGAAGAAGAGTTTGTGGTTGTTTTGGTCGTCATGGTGAGGCATGTGCAACACAAAGACCCGGACTGAAGCTGTTTTCTTCTTGAGGTTTTTCCGTTTATCACAGATGAGATCATCTCTGACAGGCGGTGAGAGGATTATCTAGAGATGCTGAGTCAACAGAACACAGGCTTTACAACATACTCTGATTCACTGAAACAACACAGACACAAATGAGCAGAAGGGGTGTGTCAAGGTTTGTGTTGCTGTTAGATTAGTTCGTACAAGTCAGAGAGTTTCCCAATGCTAGACTGACTGATTTTACACTAACATGTAGCCATCATTGTTATCTGATACTGACACAAACTGGAGAATGATAGAAACATGATTTATTCTTTGTGGTATGAACAGCACAGAGGATCTGTTAGATTAAAGGATCAATCAGTGAGATGAAATGATAAAGTGAGCTTACTGATCAGACATTAAGGAATCATGCTATGTTGAAGTGCTGGCTTCTCTGACAACAATGCAGCAGCCAGTATGTCCTCCTTCTAACTTTAGATTCTGGTCCTGAATGATCTGGATTTGTTATGGACCAGAGAAGGTAGGCGGTTTTAAGGCACCCCCACACGGCCGTTTTGGACGCCCCTCGGTTTGCCAGATATGAGAGCAGTTATCAGGTCAACAGGTGTTGCAGCGATGGAAGCAGCAAGAGAAGTGGTTCAGATAGAAGTGATTGTACCCGACCTAAAAAGCCTCTGCATGTTTCTAATAAGAAGAATTAGAATTTAGACTGCAGTACCCATTTTAAACACTAGGTGTCAGAGTTACATATTGCTCCTTTAATGACAGTCTAGTTTCAGTTAAACTGTGGAACTAGGTGAGTTGGTGGAGCGAAATAATCTGTAGGCTTAGTTGAATTTTACTTTAGTTATCACTATTCTCCGCTTGTTGTATTTAAGTTAACATACACACGAGGTGGAGACGTTGCTCTGCTGTGATTCGTTTGTCTGATGTTCAGAACATCTTCACCTCGTGTGTATGTTAACTTACATAACAAGAAGATCACTGCTGAAGGTTCTGGCTTCAACATGTATTTATAAACTATAAACATTATACATGTATGTCATATTTCTTTATGATGTCAGAGCAAACTGAAGCTGACAGCAGCTGCAGTCAGACTACATGAAAGACACCACAGGTCGTCTGTGTGTGTGTGTGTGTGTGTTCGTCTGTGTGTATGCGTTCGTCTGTGTGTGTGTGTGTGTGTTATTCAAATGTCTCTGGTTTCACTGAAAGTGGATTTGCATGAAACAAACTAAAGATGATGATGTCACCTCAGATATATCAGAACATGATGTTCTCTTGATGTAACAGTGAGGAGTCTTACACCTGCATTATTTTAGTGTCCAGCAGGGGGCAACACTGCTGGACGAAGTCATACCAAGCGGACAGGAAGGTGACAAACACCGGCGGTTAGCTTGTGCTAGCGTGCGTTAGCTTGCAGTGTAGCTACAAGCAGTAAACGTACACACTACATCCTGCAGGGGGCGATGAGCCCAGGAGGAGGGGCCCAGTTTAAATGTTTATAAACATTTCTACTGACTCCTTCTTTAAGGCGGGTGAATCCTGTCGTTGTTTAAACAGGATTGTATAGAAGTCTATGAGAAAATGCTTCTCCGGGAGTGGGGGTCTGGACTGTCAAGTGTTCTGGTTTCAGTTCGTACTACATTTGTAGTCTGAGCTATATTGACCAATCGTGTATCAGCATGCTTTGGTGTCAGCAGTAAAATACTCTCCACACTAAAGAACATACCAGCTCCCATCAAGGGCGTTCAAACACTGATTTATTAATCTCTGTCAACGGATAGGAAGTGAAACATCCTCACAAACAGGAACATCATTAAACTGACACACACGGTCTGTGTTTCATCTTTCTGCCTTCCCCCCGTTGTTCTGTATTTACAGTTCTTTAGTTCTCCTCTCAGTTTCTTCTTCTGCTGTGACGTCATGATGGGTACTCCTTGACGTAACCTTCCTCTTCTCCTGCTCGCCTTATTTTAGACTTCAACAGCTCCAGAAGCATTACATGCAGCATGTCAGCCACACACCTCCTCAGGGGTCTAAAGGAGCCCCTCCCTCAGCAGCGTCCCCTGAGCCAGTTAAACCAGAGTCTCCAAAACAAACCAGTATGTCTACTCAGACCCTGAGGCTGCAGCTACAACAACCTGAACCTGCTGTCACTCTGAGAGTCTGCAGCTACAACAACCTGCTGTCACTCTGAGAGTCTGCAGCTACAACAACCTGCTGTCACTCTGAGAGTCTGCAGCTACAACAACCTGAACCTGCTGTCACTCTGAGAGTCTGCAGCTACAACAACCTGCTGTCACTCTGAGAGTCTGCAGCTACAACAACCTCAACCTGAGAGTCTGCAGCTACAACAACCTCAACCTGAGAGTCTGCAGCTACAACAACCTGAACCTGAGAGCCTGCAGCTACAACAACCTGATTTCTGATTTCATGAGTGGATAAAGTGTGAGAAACTTGAATGAGACATGGTCAACTGTTGAAGTGTGTTAAAAGCACAACAAAGTGAGTGGAACGTGAATGCTTCAATTTAAGGAAGTCATGTGACATTTTCAACCCGTAGCAGCTGTAATTAACTGTGCAGAGAGAGAGAGAGAGAGAGAGAGTGAGTGGGACACTGAGCATGTGCAGAGATGCCGAATGTGACCTCATCTGTAAACACAACCTGCATCACTGTTCATTCATAATCAAACAGCCAATCAGAGCAGACCTCTGTTCTAAATCTGGGGCAGACAGCGGCCAATGGCTGCACAGCATGTCGTCTATATGTAGAGCAGTCACACACTCACAAAAATACAAACTATCACATGGGATGAGAGAAGCAGGGAGAAGCTTGTTTGAAAGCTCCCACTCCCCCCTCCCGTGGGAACCAGTTTTCTGTGTGTGCGTGTGTGTGTGTGTGTGTGTGTGTGTCTGTGTGTGTGTGTTGGGGGGATCAGGGATCAGGGTCATGGAGAGTCAAATCTAAACAACTGAATTGAGACTCTCAGTGGAAACAGAGATCGAGCTAACAGTCCAAGTTTGGTTCTCTTAAAGGTCCCATATTATCAGCAGAGACACCAGAGACACCTCCCACCCCCACCAAGGACTGTTTTCGCTGCTGGACTCTGGAAAGAGGTTCCGCAGCCTCCGAAGCAGAACTTCCAGGTTCTGTAACAGCTTCTTCCCACAGGCCATAAGACTTAATAATCCCTCCATTCCCCCTCAAACCCCCACACAGGACTACCTCACTGGACTGTAAAACACAATATAACGTGCAATATATTTATCTGTATAGTATTTTTACTCATAGTTTTTCTTTTTATATCTATTTATATCTGCACCTTATTTTTATTTTTTATATGTAAATACATGCTGCTGTTTTTATCCTGCACTACAACGAGCCAAATGCAACGAAATTTCGTTCTTATCTGCACTGTAAAGTACAAGTTTGAATGACAATAAAGAAAGTCTAAGTCTAAGTCTAAGTCATGCTTTTTCTGGTTTTATATGCTCTTTAGTGTGTTTTCCAAGTGTCCTGTGCATGTTTAGGCACAAATGTGCAAAAATTCAAAGTCCATGGAAACGCGGCTTCTCCTACGTCCTCCTGTTAGCTGTAGCATTAGCTGCATGTAACGCTCGGTTCTAGCCCCCCTCGATAAAAAATTGTCAGTGCGGTGTCATTGTCAGTGTGAGATCACTGATCTAAGCCCATTGGCTCGTTGTGGCAAGCCCAGCAGCTCATGTTGAAATTTCCGAGACGCGTGCTGAGCAACTGACCAATAACGACAGAGCGGATCGGCAGACCAATCAGAGCGGACTTGGCCCACGTGGGGTCTAACAGTGTGGGCTCAACAGAGTGCAGCTGATGAACTCAGAGCGTAGAGGGAGCAAGGAGGAGCAGTACATGAAAACAGACACTTTTTTCGGACTTGAACATACAAAAGTAGGTACATAGATTAAATATACGAACCCCAAAAAGGGCATAATATGGGCTCGAAAGCAGTATCCGCCATATTTACACCTCTGTGATGTTTCTCCATCAGTCTGAATGTGGTGGAGGCGTAATGGGGGGAGGAAATTGGCGTCCCAATTTTTTATCGGGACGCCAATATCATGCCGTCACAGATTCAATATGAAGACGGCTGCAGAGCTTGGTTACAGCAGACTCAGCTAGCTGCTAGTTGTTGCTAACATGTAAATAAATAAAGTTGTAATGTGACTGGTTGTAGTTGGACGGTCCGTTAGTCCAATAAAGCTCACATAAAGACAGATTATTAGTCTGATATTTACAGGAACAAATCTCCAAAAGCACAAACACGGCCCAGAGGTCAAAGGTCAGGAGCTAAATCAGCTGCTCTTATGTACCAAAAACAAGAAAGGTGACTTTTTGTGAGAATCTGCCTGAAAGAAAATACTTCATTGCTGTGATATGATTGGACCATCTTCTCCGGGGGGGGGACTCAGAGAACAAAAGCCTGAAGACAAAGCAGCAAAACAATGTGCATGTGTGTGTGTGTGTGTGTGTGTGTGACTGTGTGTGACTGAGTGTGTCTGTGTCTGTGAGGGGGGAGGGGGGTCTGTGTGGAGGAAACAGGTATAGCAGTCAGACAGGTTCAAAGGGGAAAAACGAGTCTGAACATTTTACAGAAACCCAAAAAAATCAGATATAAGTCTGTGTGTGTGTGTGTGTGTTTTGAACCCTTCTCTCTGACTGTCAGGACTAGAGTAAGTCTCAGGACAACACTCGACATGGCGGGCTCAGGTTTCACCACAGAGTGCTGAGGTTTACCTGAAGCTCCACCCACCATGTGTTCACATGATGACATCACTGTGAGACTAAAGGCAGGGTGTGTACCTGTACCTGTGTAGGATCTTTGATCTAACAGGCGACAGCAGGAAGTTTTTTACTGATACAGAGAGAGGAAGTCACAGGTGAAGGTGACAGAGACACACCTGTGACACCTTAAACACCTATAACACATGTAACAACTGTAATACCTGTAACACCTGAGACACCAGCAGCACCTTTAACACCTGAGACACCTGAGACACCTGAGACACCTTAAACACCTGTAACACCTGCAGCACCTTTAACACCTGTGACACCTGTAACACCTGTAACACCTGTAACACCTGAGACACCTTAAACACCTGTAACACCTGAGACACCTTAAACACCTGTAACACCTGAGACACCTTAAACACCTGTAACACCTGAGACACCAGCAGCACCTTTAACACCTGTAACACCTGAGACATCTTTAACATCTGCAATACCTGCAGCACCTTTAACACCTGTAACTCCTTTAACACCTGCAGCACCTGTAACACCTGCAGCATCTTTAACACCTGCAACACCTGTAACACCTGCAGCATCTTTAACACCTGTAACTCCTTTAACACCTGCAGCACCTTTAACACCTTTAACACCTGTAACTCCTTTAACACCTGCAGCACCTTTAACACCTTTAACACCTGTAACACCTGCAGCATCTTTAACACCTGCAGCACCTTTAACACCTGTAACTCCTTTAACACCTGTAACTCCTTTAACACCTGTAACACCTGCAGCATCTTTAACACCTGTAACTCCTTTAACACCTGTAACACCTGTAACACCTGCAGCACCTTTAACACCTGTAACTCCTTTAACACCTGTAACACCTGTAACACCTGCAGCATCTTTAACACCTGTAACTCCTTTAACACCTGCAGCACCTTTAACACCTGTAACAACTGTAACACCTGTAACACCTGCAGCATCTTTAACACCTGTAACACCTTCAACACATGTAACACTTGTAACAACTGTAACTCCTTTAACACCTGAGACACCTTAAACACCTGTAACAACTGTAGCATCTTTAACACCTGTAACGCCTTTACTTTAATGAGAGTCTGAATCTGTAGCATCTCTCTACTCCTACTGTCCCTGAACACCTCCCAGAACACAAACAAGGAACCCAAAGACACACACATTCAGGAAAATCTTGCTCTGTCAGACCCTCAAACTTTGAAACATTCATCCAAACATAAAACTTCTGGTTCTGGAGCTCAGACCAGGATCTGAGCCTGCAGAGTCTCAGAGCATTCAGAGTCTCAGAGCCTGCAGAGTCTCAGACCAGGATCCGAGCCTGCAGAGTCTCAGAGCCTTCAGAGTCTCAGACCAGGATCAGAGTCTCAGACCTGAGCAGACAGATGGAGCCACAGGTTGAGCCCCCTCCTCCTCCTCTCTGGATTCTTTAATCTGAGGCTTTAAGAGTCCAGCTCCCCGAGGGAGTGGAGGAAGAGGATTAGTGCAGACTGAGAGTCTCGCAGGACAAACAGACTGATATCAGGATTTATGAAACAACAACATTTTACAACTTTTATTAATAACAATTACAGAACGATGACGTAACGATGGCGTCAGTGTGAAGGCACACTGAGCTGGTTCGGAGATCAGATTCTGAGTTTTTTAAATAATTAAAGTTAACAAAGTTTTTAATAATGACAGGGTGTTGTGCTTTTTTTTAAAATAAACTGTTGCTCTAAGTTAGAGGCTCCTTCCTGAACAAACACGTCACTCAGTCTGCGCCTGCGCGGTCTGGACTCTGACCTGAAGCACAGGTGTAACATACAAAAGGGAAAGAGAGATACCTGATGTACTAATGCTTCTTTATCTTTCTTTATCTTTCACTATATTTAACAACTAAACACAGTGTGATATCTGCTGTTTGACATTTTATTATTTGACTCATTCCATCAGACTGATATCTGTTACATCAAACTGTCTATTTGGGATCCAACTTCCCAACAAACTGCATCTGCACTACATTTCCGCGGCAGTCTGCCCGGTGCCGTGTTGAACTCCATATACAAAAATGTTAAATTAAAGTAAAATGACGTTTATATCAGATTAACTTTAAAAAATACTTAATAGAGTTACTCTGTGTAACGGGCTGAAACATTCGGCTCACATATGACCCTCCATTGACCTGTTATTATGATCGTATTTAGACTTTTGTTACTGTGGATGCGCCGAGCAGCCTTACTGAGCAGCACACGGACAGGTGACTGAACTCTGAAAAGCCCTCTAAAGTTACATGAGGTTTGGTGCATGTCGAAGTGAAGCTGTTTGCAACTTGGCTTGTTTGTTAAATCGCTGATCTTGGAGACGGAGTTCTGAATAGAAAACAGGTCCACACTCCTCTGGTGTTAAAGCATGACGTCAGAGTGTTTTCAGGTAGAATGGCTCACCTTTGTGTACAGCTCGTTCACAGACATCGTGTCCCCTCCCCGAACGATCAAACTACAACGATCGTGCTGTTGTTGCTCCCATTAACAGTCCTTTATAAACCAAACCAGGTGTTTCTGTCCGAACCAGGTAAGACTTCAGACCGCATTCCCCCCGGTACAGGCGGACAGGTGTTCCCCGGAACAAGCAGGTGTCCCGGTCGAGTTTCGGTCAGTTCGCTCGGTGTAGTTTCAGCCGTCAGCACCGATCCTTATCCCGGTTATTCCCGGTGAGAGCGGAAGATTTCTCGGTAAAAAGACGGAGCTGTTTCCGTTTTAAACACTTTGATCTAAAAACTCTTTAAGTGATCCACAAGAACACACACAGATACTTCCTCCACACACACACACAACCTGAGCTGGTTTCTACTGTACACACACACCAAGTGGACAATCAGAGCACTGCAGCACAGAGCACGGGGGCTCAACATGGGGGTCGCAGCCCTACTAACGGTCCTGAGAGCACGTGAGGGGTCGCATGCTGCATCTACTCAAAAATGATGAATCAATCATGACTTCAGTATTTATAAAATCACAATACACAGAAGAGCAAAACATAAATCCTGGAGTGTTAGTTTTGTCACTTGTCACAAAAAGTTAAAATTAATTTAGCATGTGCAACATTCAAACAAATTCGACCCCCCCCCCAGCTCACGCATAAAACATTTTACTTAACTTTACCGCTGCAATAATGAGCCTCAAACCAAACAACCTGTTGACAATCCAAAAGGAGCAACTTTTTTAAAATATATTATTCACTAGAAACACAAGTCTATTAACTCCATGAGTGACAGGTGCGAGCTTCTATAGGTGTCTGCTAGGTACGGTGGCCCTGAAGATCAATTGCAAAACTATTTCACGTAAAGTCTCTATTAGTTCATATTAAAATAAAACATTTTAATATAATATATTAATAAAAACTTGATTTTCTCGTCCCGTGAAACGTTTAAATGTCTGGTTACTCATTCTGCACTCAGGGGCGTTTTTTTCATCTTCCATCCAATTAAAAAAAACTGTCAAAGCTAACGATCCTTCTGTCTTGTGATTATTTTTCTGCTGTTTCAGTTGGAAATTCGTCCTGACAAAGTAGTTAGAAACTCAAAGTTCTGCTTCATGGAGACCGCAAAAACTTATAATGAGAATCTTGAAACCAAAACAAACTGCTGTTAGGCCACACCTCCTCCATACTGAAGCCTCCGCTCTCCTCCAGAGACACACCAGTGAGTATGTTCTTCTTCTTCTTCTTCTCTCTAGTTCTTGACTAAAACAGCTTTTATACACAAGGGGAGGAGCCGGCCGTCCCGTCCATGTAAACACGGCACTGACGACAACACGGCCAGCGGGACTCAAGCTTCTCATTTACACAGGATTGACTGGATTTCACATTCTGCCCTTAACAGCGAGTGAGTGAAATCTTTTTGCATTTCACAAAATGTTATTGTGTTTTATGAAATGTTTTTGCAGTTGACCTTCAGGGCCACCGTAGCATGTTGTCACCTGAGTCTTCAGGCTACATCATCTATAAATACTTCATAATCACACATTTTATATCTCACGTATTTTAATATTTGTTTTTTTTTATTTGAAGTGATTTTCTTGATTCATGTCGGCCTGATCCAAGTGTTTGTCACTGAGCCAATCAAACGGCAGCGTTAGGGTTGAGACTTCCTGACAGAGTGACAACACCACTCGTAAACTACAGTCTCACGTGCTGCTACACGAGGCCTTCAGAAAGGAGACAAATCATGATACCAGATTTATGATATTTAACATGATTCAAGTAAAATTAGACGACATCAACACCCGTTTGTTACCACGGCAACAAAAACAGAAGTCCTGGTAACTTTTTGGTTCTGTATGGAAACATCAATCATTTTGTGCAATTTAGTAACTGTGAAGGAGTTTGCTGTATTTTTTCATAATTAAATAAAGAAATGACCTCCCATAGGGTTTCAAGGGCTTCTATTTCTGTTGCCATGGTAACTAACAGGTATAAATATCATTAATTTGAACACCATGTCGGGATAACTCCAATAAATACAGTTTTAAAAGCTTCTGAATTCAGATCATTTCAAGTTCATGTAGAGTATGAACAGACGCACGCACACACACACACACACACACACACACACACACACACACACACACACACACACACACAGAAACACACACATACACTCTCTCTCACACACACACGCAGAGTATCTGAACATCTACGTTTGACTCTCTCATAAATGTCAGCGGCCTTGAATGAAGTCGCCCAAGAAGAACATGAGGGAGAGAACTCTTATCGTGATGTTGTGTAATGTGCTGATAGTGTGTGTCTGTATGTATGTGTGTGTGTGTGTGTGTGTGTGTGTATGTATGTGTGTGTCCGTCCCTATGTGTGTGTGTCTGTGTATGTGTGTGTGTGTGTGTGTGTGTGTGTGTGTGTGTGTGTGTGTGTGTGTGTGTACCTTGGAGTAGGGGTAATATTCACTGGTCATCCTGTCAGATCTTCATCGGTCGCTCTGTGTGAACCCTTTCAGGAGATCAGATGAGTGTGGGAACAGCAGACCTGTCTGAGCATAACGATTATTACCTGACAGCAGGTAATGAGTCCACTCCTTAACCACTCCCTCTGCAGGTATGAGCTGTTTACCTGCTGCAGGTACGCCCAGACAGGCTCAATCACTGCCCAACACAACAAACAGGCTAAAAAAAGATCACCAGCTGCAGGAAACACACAGGACACCTGTTTGATTTAACCACCTGAGCATGTTAGCATGTTAGCAGCAGTATGTGTTCACCTGGTGGTGTCCTCAGGTGTGATGTGTTGTTGTGTTCACCTGGCTGTGTTTAAACAGCTAACCTGTCAGTTAAATCGGCCACACCCATAAATATGCAAATGTATGAACACTCTAAGCCTTAATCAAAATAGGTCAGCTATAAAATAATTCATCGGTCCAGATCAGAGCACAGAGTACGAAAAAAGAGATTAGCTCTAGAGTCCCAAACACCAAGTTGTATACATGTTTATTTTAACATGGGGCTCTGTGGGGACTGACTCATTGCAGGAGACAGCCTCGAGTGGACACTGGAGGAAGTGCAGCTATAAAGTTGGACATTTTAACATGGGGCTCTATGGGCACTGACTCACTGCAGGAGACAGACTCTAGTGGACACTGGAGGAACTGCAGGGTTTTTTTGCACTTCAGTGTTGGCTTAATGTGCAAGAAGTCTCTTTCACAATAAAACCCTCTCAGACTAATGGTAACATGGATCTCCTCCCTCACCTTTAACAAACACTCGATTACTCAACAGCCCACCAGGTGAGCTCACCTGATGGTGGAGAAACATGTGGAGACGTCTCTGTAGACCTGAAGGTGAGCTGAACCATCTGCGGGCATTTCAATGTCAAAAAGTAGAAGAACTTTAGAAATGATGATTTTTATTTTTGCTCCAGAAGGTGGCACTGTAACATTTTTATGATTATCTTTAAAAGGTTGATTGAGAGTTAAATGTTTCATCATTTCGTCTTTTCTTTCGCATTGTTCCGATGATTGTCTCACATGTTTGACATATTTGATATCTTTTTATACGATTGCAAGAACTCACACAGTGAAAGCCACGAGACAATCTCCTGATTGAACCTGCACAAAACCTGACAGACAGCTTCTGAAGTCACCATGGCAACAGCTGGCATGCATGTTTGATCCGTCTTCCCCCTCCCATCATGAAAGAAATGTTGGCAGGAAATATCTACAGCCCTCCAGCCGACGCGAAAGATTTGTTAAGCTTAAGCTGCTAGTGAACTGAACTGACTTTAGCTTTAGCAATGTAAACATGTTTTCAATGCTTATAAAGCTCTATTGAATTGAATTGAAATTGAGAGAGAGAGAGATAGAGTTAGAGAGAGATAGAGTTAGAGAGAGAGAGAGAGAGACGTTTAATCTGGTGTGCATATTTGAACAGTGCATGAGACAACTGAACTTATCCTCTGTCTGTTGGAGTTTTCTGTTGAACGCACCGTCATTTTTCAACTCGTACAGCGTGAGCTCTCAGGTCGTTTGACCATCAGATCGTATGAGTTGTATGAAAGTTGCTATAAAAATAAAGTTTGATTGATTGATGTTTGGTCTCGACTCGGTTCAACAACATGTTGACTAACTTCTCTGTTCAATGTCGACCTCACAGCTGTAATTGTTTTGATCTGTTTGTTAAATAAAGTTTAAAAAAAATAAATTTCACTGTTCTTTATTTAAACACAGACTGAAGGAGGAGGAGTCAGGTGTTCTGAGGGGCGGAGTCAGGAGGCGGACCTGGACCCCCCTGCTCGTCTGAAGGGGTGAGGGGGGGCTGCGGAGGTCTGGGACAGGGGCCTGGACAGGATCTGGTCTCTCCTCTGGTTGTAGGCCTCCTGCTGGATCAGACCCTGCAGGTGCTCCCTCTGAACCTGAGCTCTCTGATTGGACTGCACCTGCTGCTGCAGCTTCACCTGAGCCTGCAGGTCTGACAGGTACGCCTCCCGAGTCTGCTTCTGCCTGCAGGGACACACAGAGCAGGTGAGACCATAGACCAGGTGAGTTTGGTCTCTGGAATCAGAATCGGTCAAATCCAGATGAACTTCAACCCTCGGAAGTTTTTTTATTTACCGTATCTTCTCCTCGTCCTCCATCAGCTTCAACTCCTCCATCGCTCTGTTCAGCTCCTCCCTCTCTGACGACAGCTCCACCTGTCTCTGCAGGTTCAGGTGCACTGAGACACAAACACACACACCGAGACACACACACACACACACACACACACACACACACACACACACACACACACACACACACACACACACACACACACACACACACACACACACACACACACACACACACGTTACATTAAAACTAGTTTGACTTTGTTTCTGACTTAAGGGCTTTTCAAGACATGGAGTGTGCACTGTGCTTGCTGCTGGGTCTGACACAGACCTTGGGGGGGGGCATGTACAAATCACGCCCATCATTGACGCAGGTTGCTAGGTGACAGGACTCATGAGAATAAGGACAAACTTCAGGCGGCTGATGACTGTGTGTGTGTGTTTCTTACGTTTGTGTTGTATCTGCAGACGGCGAGCCTCCATCACCTCCTCCATCAGACGGTTTCTAGCCTCTCTCTGCAGTCGGCTCTGCTCCTCCCGTTTGCTCCACACCTCCTTCAGTTTCTCCTCCATCAGCTGCCCCGCCTCCTCCTCCTCCCTCCTCTGCCTCTGCAGCTCCTCAGACAGATACTGACGGTACCTCTGCTGCTCCTCACGCAGCTCCACCTGATCAGGAACCACCACACTGAACGTTATAGCCCCTGAAGGAGCGACCTTTAAATCAAATCAATGTCATCCTCA